ATTCTTATGAGCAAAATATCCCTGAAGTATAAACGACTCGTTCTAACACGCCCCCACATGTCTACATCACTATGTGGGAAGATTTGCATAACGCCGCCCAAATGTTCACGCAAAGAAAGAAGGTGTAACTTTTATTCTCGCTGTAGTATTGTTGCTGCCGCCGCCGCCGTGTCGTGGAGACGCTGTGTGTTTCGTTGTGAAAGTGAAGCTACTTTGTTTGGTCTTCCAAAAGAGGACACGATTAGAAATCAGTGTTAAGTTGTATTTACAACACTGTTCCAGAACACTTCAACCCAAATATTCAGATGTGTGCAGCACATTTTATGGAGGACTGTCTCCTGATCCTGGGAGAGTAGACTACAATGCCGGCTGTTCTGACTCACAGACTGTAAGTACGTTTTTATATTTAAAGGATTTGCCACTGATGATTCAAACGTTTTGGGCAGTGTAGAGTAGCGCTTGTTGTTTGTCATTTCTCCGATTACAAATGCAGACATGGTTTTATGTTTACGCGGCGTGATGCAACGCAATGCATAAAAAGACAGTGTAAGTCATTATAATCCGTAATTATGTCACCACTGGATGCAACGAATGCCTGGTTTATAATGGGTTTTAATGTTTTTGTCTCGTCGCTCCGGCCGGACAGGGCAGCATCACAGTATGGTGAGGGGCGTAACATTTCCGTCACACGCTTGAGGTATTCGGCCAATCACAATGCACTGGATAGCTGGCCAATCACAGCACACCTCGCTTTTCAGAACGATGAGCTTTGTAAAAATCGACGCGTTTCAGAAAGGCGGAGCATAGAGGAGAAACAATAATGTACAGTATGTGGAAAATAATGTGTTTTTTTAACCTTAAACCGCATAAACACATTTCATTACACCAAATACACAAAATAATGTTCTTTTTAGCAACATCATATGACCCCTTTAATGTTGTTAGGCCCAAACTCAAGACAGGAAGCACTGACTGACAGTGCCTGCAAGTCACCCACTCGCTTTACCGACGCTAAAGCCAATAGGTGGGTGGTCTTAAGTGACATGGGCCACAGTTCGGCCGAATGGAGCAAACAGCAGAGCAAGTGAGCTATCGTGTCATTGATGCGGAAGCAGTTCAGTTCAGAGCGTCTGAGTAAATTGTGAGATTTGTGAGAGAAAATCGCCAAATGGCTAATAAAATCCCGGAATAAAAACGGAATTTACTGTGTAACGCGGAATGTGACGGAATGAACGGCGCAGACGCGCGTTTTGTTTTCTGGTTTGCTATTTAAGCACGCGCAACGCTCGCGGTTGTCGCCTGTAGTAGCTAAATAGTATTTTTAATAGCCATTTAATATTCACATGCACTAGTCCATACCGCGGTGTGATTGAAGTGTAGCGCAGTGCATTTGATTTATTCATTCAATATTTGACGAATTCCGTGACATTGCTCGTTACACAGTAAACTTCTGTTGTGTAGCGTTTTGAATGTACAAAAATTCAAGGGTTTGTTTAATTTTCATTGAAATAAAAGATAGATTCATGCTTTCGCCTTCATTTGATTACCAGAAAAATTTAAATACACAACACAATTTCTAAAAAAATAAGTAAATAAAATTAAAATTTCATAGGGCCCTATTATTGTATACAAATTAATAAATTAAGTTGTTTTTATGAATTCAATTCATTAGATATGTTTTTGATTAAACCATTAAAATGTAATACAGAAAAATTAAAATGGAAAGGGTTAGGTATACTAACCGGTATACATCAATACTGTCGACACAAAGGATTTATCAGTAGTATTTTACTGGGACGCAGTGGCATTTTTGTGACTAATTTGTTATTACTTCAGTTAACTGTCACTTTGTGTCATTTATTTGATTAAACATTTTAATTGTTTGACAGCCCTAAACTTTCTCATTTTGTCATACATTAGTGGAGTAAAAAGGCCAAGGTCTATTGTATGGGACCATTTTGAAAAGCTTGGAGAACAACTTTTCTGTGATGCATCATGAGAAAAACAGCGAGAATGGCTTAAAATAAACACAATATGCAAATTAGCTTGGAGTCCAACTGTCAAAGAACACGTCAAAAAAGAAAGCCTGAGGAAATACCAGAAAGTGTGGTGTGTCACCTGTTTCATAACATCTACAGCATGCTTCAAAAGTCACGCATTCATCTCTCATCGTAACACCACCTTGTGCTGGAATGAGGTTGAAAGCACATGATCTCAATGTAATCATCTATTGTCTTCTGCTTCATTTCTCAACACCACTGATCTGAACCAGAAGATGTTTCTGACATGACCTGAATGACCAGAGCAACATCAGATAAAGGAACACATGGTGTTAAGGGCTGTATTGTACTTTTAGAGGTGTCACTGGCTAAGCAGACACTACGACTTTTATTCAGAGTTTAGCAGTTGTCTGCGTTCTTCAGCAGCTGCCATTGACTAAGGACACATTTGGCTTCGTATCAATGATCTGTGCATCATACTGGGAGCATTTACATATATATATGCATAGATATCAAGAGAAGTGGAAACTTTAAACAGCTCTTGAAAAGGCAGCTGAAAAAGCTTCAAGAGTGAAACTGATGTACTTGAAAACAGGAGCTCAGTAAACTCTATTTATCTAAACACAATCTTCAGTCTTCTTTCTAGCTTTAAAGGTGTTTTTTTTCATGAGATGTTTTGAACAGTGAAAGGCCTTCGGCATAACCACATTGCATGCTGCTCGGCAGATCTGAATTCTTTCTACTGTCTTTTCTTTCATCTGTACTGCAAGGGAATGAAAAAAATCTTTGAAGTGAAGCTGAAACACACGTGTGCTTGATGTGTGAAAACAACGATCATTGGTTCTCACATGTCTTCCGTTTACCATTTTTAATGCATTTATTTACAGTTTTATAACTTTTCTCTTTTCCAGTTTTTCCAGTCAGCTTCAGGGTGGATCTTAGCGGCGTGCCGTGTGACGAATGAAGCTTGAAAGACTCTCACGTCACATTTGAACTCATTCAGCCTCATTAGTGACTGGAAACTGGCAGGTATCCCTCTTTTAGTCTCCTGAATTAAAATAGTTACATTACATTTAGACATTGGTTGCAGGTTAATGAGTGATGAGATGAAACGTTATCAGTCAAATGTGTTCGTTCTGATTTCCAGTGACAATGCATTTGAGTGCTTTTGTTGTGCTGAGCTGGGCTTTGGCTCTTCATCATGCTTTACCTGTGGTAAGTTAGACCAAAAATTCAAGGGTTTGTTTAATTTTCATTGAAATAAAAGATAGATTCATGCTTTCGCCTTCATTTGATTACCAGAAAAATTTAAATACACAACACAATTTCTAAAAAAATAAGTAAATAAAATTAAAATTTCATAGGGCCCTATTATTGTATACAAATTAATAAATTAAGTTGTTTTTATGAATTCAATTCATTAGATATGTTTTTGATTAAACCATTAAAATGTAATACAGAAAAATTAAAATGGAAAGGGTTAGGTATACTAACCGGTATACATCAATACTGTCGACACAAAGGATTTATCAGTAGTATTTTACTGGGACGCAGTGGCATTTTTGTGACTAATTTGTGATTACTTCAGTTAACTGTCACTTTGTGTCATTTATTTGATTAAACATTTTAATTGTTTGACAGCCCTAAACTTTCTCATTTTGTCATACATTAGTGGAGTAAAAAGACCAAGGTCTATTATATGGGACCATTTTGAAAAGCTTGGAGAACAACTTTTCTGTGATGCATCATGAGAAAAACAGCGAGAATGGCTTAAAATAAACACAATATGCAAATTAACTTGGAGTCCAACTGTCAAAGAACACGTCAAAAAAGAAAGCCTGAGGAAATACGCAGTGGCATTTTTGTGACTAATTTGTTATTACTTCAGTTAACTGTCACTTTGTGTCATTTATTTGATTAAACATTTTAATTGTTTGACAGCCCTAAACTTTCTCATTTTGTCATACATTAGTGGAGTAAAAAGGCCAAGGTCTATTGTATGGGACCATTTTGAAAAGCTTGGAGAACAACTTTTCTGTGATGCATCATGAGAAAAACAGCGAGAATGGCTTAAAATAAACACAATATGCAAATTAGCTTGGAGTCCAACTGTCAAAGAACACGTCAAAAAAGAAAGCCTGAGGAAATACCAGAAAGTGTGGTGTGTCACCTGTTTCATAACATCTACAGCATGCTTCAAAAGTCACGCATTCATCTCTCATCGTAACACCACCTTGTGCTGGAATGAGGTTGAAAGCACATGATCTCAATGTAATCATCTATTGTCTTCTGCTTCATTTCTCAACACCACTGATCTGAACCAGAAGATGTTTCTGACATGACCTGAATGACCAGAGCAACATCAGATAAAGGAACACATGGTGTTAAGGGCTGTATTGTACTTTTAGAGGTGTCACTGGCTAAGCAGACACTACGACTTTTATTCAGAGTTTAGCAGTTGTCTGCGTTCTTCAGCAGCTGCCATTGACTAAGGACACATTTGGCTTCGTATCAATGATCTGTGCATCATACTGGGAGCATTTACATATATATATGCATAGATATCAAGAGAAGTGGAAACTTTAAACAGCTCTTGAAAAGGCAGCTGAAAAAGCTTCAAGAGTGAAACTGATGTACTTGAAAACAGGAGCTCAGTAAACTCTGTTTATCTAAACACAATCTTCAGTCTTCTTTCTAGCTTTAAAGGTGTTTTTTTTCATGAGATGTTTTGAACAGTGAAAGGCCTTCGGCATAACCACATTGCATGCTGCTCGGCAGATCTGAATTCTTTCTACTGTCTTTTCTTTCATCTGTACTGCAAGGGAATGAAAAAAATCTTTGAAGTGAAGCTGAAACACACGTGTGCTTGATGTGTGAAAACAACGATCATTGGTTCTCACATGTCTTCCGTTTACCATTTTTAATGCATTTATTTACAGTTTTATAACTTTTCTCTTTTCCAGTTTTTCCAGTCAGCTTCAGGGTGGATCTTAGCGGCGTGCCGTGTGACGAATGAAGCTTGAAAGACTCTCACGTCACATTTGAACTCATTCAGCCTCATTAGTGACTGGAAACTGGCAGGTATCCCTCTTTTAGTCTCCTGAATTAAAATAGTTACATTACATTTAGACATTGGTTGCAGGTTAATGAGTGATGAGATGAAACGTTATCAGTCAAATGTGTTCGTTCTGATTTCCAGTGACAATGCATTTGTGTGCTTTTGTTGTGCTGAGCTGGGCTTTGGCTCTTCATCATGCTTTACCTGTGGTAAGTTAGACAGTCATTGATGAAGCGATGCACAGCTGCTGATTTGTTTAGACTAAATCTATTCTTTTTAACTGAGTATTGTTTTCATATCTCGTGTTCTCAGGCCACATTTGAGGAAACTGGTAAGTTCATCACAGTCACGTTGATCTGTTGTAAAGTTATATTAATGTTTCCAGTGTGCAGGATATCTGTTTTGTACCCTGTTTTAACTGCTCGTTACTGCCTGATTGATGATGGGATTGCTCATGAATCATTTTGCTTTCATACTGTTTCACTGAAGGTTAAAAAGTTACAATTTGTCTAGCAACGCACACAATACTCATTCCCTCTTCTTTGTCTTTTGTTGACTTCAATATAATATTCTCAAAGTCATTAATGGCAAATGGAGGCGCATTACGGATATAAACAGAGGTAAAACTTTTATCTCAAGAACCCAAATACATTTATATAAGCAGTAAGATAACTATTATCTATTTTTATTTATAAATTATTATTTTTACTGTAAACATATCTACTGAGATACATTTCTATTGATGCATATTTTCTGTGAACTGAACACTCTTGTAGGATCAGGTTTAAATCTCACAGAAGGAGACGTCATGGAGGTATGTGTGTGTGTGTGTGTGTGTGTGTGTGTGTGTGAGAGAGAGAGAGAGAGAGAGTGTGTGTG